GCTGAATTCTCCTGAGGTTATCTAATGTCTGAAGATGTATCCATCTACCCATCTGTCCAGCACTTCCTAAGTGTCTCTGCATTTAAAGGGGTGTATATACACTAGTGAGTATCTGGGTTCCTGTCTTTCTCTTTAGAAACTTTCCTCATGTCTGCTGATCTTTGGTGTCTTTCTCTTAGAACCTCCATAGCTTACTGGAAGCAGTTTGGATATGTCCAGGCTTCTGGTTGGATAGATGTCCCCATAAGGTATGAGACAAGAGTCTGGTCTCCCCCGAGTCCAGCTCTCACTAGACTTCCTTTCTGGACATTTGCACAGAGTGTATCCTCTAATTTACCACTTACATCCAACATCTAGATGCCATGCCTTAGAAGGGCACCTGGGTGTTGAGGACAGACAGAATACACAAACTGTCCATTTTCTCCTCAACTGCGCCTGTTACCTTTCTCATTCTATCTCTTTCGAGAGTGCCGGGGTGAGGGTGGGACTGGTCATGTGATGAGCCAGGCCATCCGTTAGGAGTCCTGTTACTTCCTTATTCAAACTCTGCACCTTTCCCAGTAGTCACCTTATCCCTGCTCAGACCCCTGCAATTCCTCAAGTTTCCCAGACTGGGACAGCATGACAGATTCTGCTGCTTTTAAAGGCGTTCTCTAAGCCTTCTTTTCCGGAAGGCGCTTTGTACCTCTGATATGCCAAGACCATTGTTGGTCCCGCCCTTTTTCAAATCCTAAAATTTTATTGACTGTTATGTGTCCTGTTGTTTCCTTTCCTGTCTTTTTGAAAGGATTATTTTACAAAAATGCAGATGTCTGGGCTGTATTCCAAAGTTCTGGTTTCATTCCAGTTACCACCACCACCACCACCACCACTACCACCACCACCACCACCACCACCACCACAACAACAACTACCACACACACACACACACACACACACACCAAGCTCTGCAGCTATTTTAACATTCAGCCCAAACTATAAGTCACAGTCCATGCCCTTTTCTTTCTTCCTCTTGTAGTGCTGGAATCAAACCCAGGAACTCTAATGGGTTATCTATGTCATATCCCCTCCCCCAAGGTCCAGGGATCATTTAGTGGGAGGACGCAGAAAGACTGTAAAAGTCGGAAGAGGTGGATGACTATAGTAAAACTGTTTTCTGGACACAACTTGTCAGGTGAACATATGCACTCACAGTTTCTTGCCAGCATGCACAAGATCTGCACAAGATCAAGCCAGATGAAATTCCAGTATGGAGTGGAGAGGTATCAGGCAGTCCTACCCCTAAAGGAAGAGTTACTGGCAATTGATGACTGAGAAAGGGAGAATCTGTTTTCTTTGGGGATGAGGCCTTTGAATGGTTATCCATGCTCCAGTAACAACCCTAAACCCACACACATGTTGGTAGCGCTAAGAGAATACATGAAATTGGGAAGGATTACTGGTAGGTAGACACAGAGGAAGCATTATAGGGGAGAAACTGAAAGGTAGAGTTGATTACAATACATTATATACATCTATGAAATAATCAGTGAAAAAAATGTTTTACATTAAAAACAAACCAACCCACAAAACAACCCAAGGGCTTTGTGCATCTTGTACCCTAGGCTGTATCACCAATCTTTTATTTTTTTACACATTGATAGAACTTCCTCATGGAGTAGAGATAAACAGGTAAGTCTTTTCTACTTATGTTTAAGATCAGCAAATGATTTCTTTATTTGGATATCCTAATGGAATGAGGAAGCAACCCAGGCCAGGCTCTTCTCAGTCACAGCACTAAGTCTGAAGTGACACTCTTTGTGAGATCCTAGAAAGCTGGTGTGACCTGTAACAAAGTACTTGGTGAGAAGTGTTTGTTCAACGAACAGACAGATATATAGTGCCCAGCCCTTTCCTGTGTAATCTCCTGAGGAGACCTTACTTTTGAAGCAATCCTTTCAAAAACCACATGTTTCTTGGATTCAAGTTCAAAACAATTCTTTATAGTTTATTCCACAAATCTCTGCATCTGGAATCTCACCGAGTACATAGTCTGAGTTTGTGTCTTAAAGTGCAGCAAGGGCATGTGACTATTCCTGTTAGTTTAGAAGGTTGTCAGTCTCTGTCCCAGCTCTGTGACAAATGCAGCAACTCTCCATTACAGAATTAGGGCCACTTTGAACCTCTTGAGGTTTATTGGTTTTGGTTCACATTCTGCTAATGTTACTTATCACAAAATGCTTGATGAAGTATTTGTTGCTTTTAAAATAAACACTTACAGAGCTCTTACCATGTGCCAGGCACTGTTCTAAGTGCTTTAAAACTATTTACCCACTAGAAAACCTAAAAATTAATTGCAGTGTCGTAAAGACTAATTTCCTTTTCAGAGATGTTGGTCAGCGCAGGAAAGGCTGCCTTGGCTGCAGTTGCTCTGTAGGACCTGTGGCTTGATGCCCCCAACAAACCGGACAAGCTCCTTTACTGACAAATATTCAACTCATCCATCAAGTCTAGGGCTATGGAGTTGCACAAGAATCCACACAAGAATCTCTCTTTGCCTCCGTGCAGCTTCTGTCAGAGAGTGAAAAATATAATTTTCAAAAGTAATGCTTTAGATGGCATGATTGTCAATGAGAAAGATAAAGTAGGGAAAAGAGGGGGGATGATGAAGGTAGAGGGAGGTTTGTAACAACAATAACAAAAACAACAACAACAACAAACCACAAGTTCTCGAAGTCTTCCTAGATAGGGTCTTTGAGCAAACACCTGAAGGAGATTAGGAAGCCATGGGCAACTCCAAGGGCAAGGGCCCTGAGTCAGAGGGAGCACAGAATAAAAAGGCCAGTGCAGGGGCCTAGTAACCAAATCAGTAAGCAAGGACTGAGCTAAGCTCTGGGGCAGAAAAGGGATAGAGTCCATAAGGTACTGCGTGTGGCTATAAGGAATTTGTTTTTGAATGTGAATAACACAGGAAGTAACTGAAGTGTTTTTTGTATAAGAGAAAATGTGATTTAAGTAGTAATATGATGACTTGAGATTTCATTGGGGGCAAGAATCAAACAAAGAAGCCACTTAGACTGCAGCTGCAAGTAATACAGGCTGGCAATGGGGTGGTGAGACACAGGCAGGCCTGGGGAGACCTGGAAGAAGAACCGATTGGATCCATTACTTGCTATAAAGAGATGGGGCAAGAGTGACTTCAGGGCTGGAGAAGCAGGTCAGTGGGGAAGACACTGATGCACAAGTGTGAGGACCTGAGTTCAGCTCCCCAGACCCCATACAAACTGGTGTGAGAGCTAAAATTTGGGCACTCCTACAGAAAAATAGAAAGGGGGTACAGGTGAAGACCTGGAAGTCCATAGGCCAACTAGCTTCTTGTACACTGTGGCCAACAAGAAGAGACTGTCTCAAATGAGGTGAAGGGAAGGACTGACACCCAAAGTTGCCATCTAGCCCCCACATACACACCATGGGGTAAGCACACCATGGTGTAAGTGCACCATACTCAGGTCATATGTATCAACATGCACAAAGTTAAAAAAACAAACAAACCCTTTTTCTGTCCTAAGTAACTAGAAAACGAGGTTATCATATGGTTGTGATATGGGAAAAGTCATGGATGGAACAGATTTTGGGAGGAAGATCAAGTGAGAAGTTTTGGAAACATTAAGCTCAGAGATATATGTTAGACATCT